GTGACAATTTAACCATCTCTTTGCCAATCCAGATGCCCCCCCCCCCCCCCAACCTTGTTGTATTGCTCCAGTAAGTACTTCCAATATAATATTGAACAGAAGTGGTGACAGTAAGGATCCTTGCCTGGTCCCTGTTTGCAAGGAAAATGCTTTTAGTCTTTCTCCATTGAGAATAATACTGACTCTTTGTTTTGCACATATACTATTCATTATTTTGAGGAAATTCCCTTCTATTCCAGTTTTGCTCAGGGTCTTTATCAAGAATGGGTGTCAAATGGCTTTTCTTCATCAGTTGCTAAGATCATATGGTTCTTGTTATTTGCTTTGTTAATGTGGTGAATTACATGGATTGTTATTCTTCTATTGAACCATCCTTGCATAGTTATGAATCCCACTTGGTCATAATGAATTATTTTTTTGATGTGCTTTTGGATTCCATTGGCTAGGATTTTGTTAAGGATTTTTGCATCAATATTAATGAGAAATATTGGTCTGTGTTTTCTTTCCTGGTAATGTCTTTGCCTGGTTTCAGTATTAGGGTACAGACTCCTACAGAGTCTCCACAAGAAAAAGACTGGTAACACAATTATAAAATGGGCAAAAGACATGGAAAGAATTTTCAAAGAGGAAGATATTCAAATGGTCAACAGACACATGAAGAAATGCTCAAAATCACTGGCAGTAAGAGAGATACAAATCAAAACCACAATGAGATACCATCTCAGTCCAGTAAGAGTGGCAAAGTTTAACAGAACAGCAAGTAATAAATGTTGGAGAGGATGTGGTGAGATAGAAACTCTTATACACTGTTGGTGGAATTGTAAAATGGTACAACCACTCTGGAAGAGAGTTTGACACTTCCTCAGAAAGCGGAACATAGAAATTCCATATGACCCAGTAGCAGCTATTCCACTGCTTGAAATCTACCCAGAGAAAATGAGAACTGAGGCAGAAACTTGTACAGAAATGTTCATAGCAGCATCATTCACCATTACAAGAACGTGGAACTACCCCAAATGTCCAACCACAATGGAATGGATTGAGAAACTATGGTACATTCACACAATGGAATACTATGCAACACACAGGAGCAATGATTTTGTAAATCACTACGTAACTTGGGCGGACTGGAGAGCATTATGTTGAGTGAACTACCTCAGTCCCATAAGGACAAGTACTGTATAAAACCATTATTGTGGAAGAGTGTGAGGATCCAGGGGGGGAGGGGCAGCAGAGGATGGGCAGGGGTTGGAGGGTGGTTAATCATAGGCTCTCACACCCATAGGCTGGGTGGTGGTGGTGGTGGTGATGGTGAAGGAAATGGTGTGAAAAGCAATGTACAAGAACTTTTCAAATAAACCAGTATTAAAAAAAATATTAAGATGTGCCCAATCCAGGCCATTATCTTTTTAATCACTGGCTGTGTGTCTGAGACCTAGAAGATGAATAAGGATGACAGAGAATTGATACCTTTGAGCTGTGGTGCTGGAGAAGAATACTGAATATCCTATGAAATATCAAAAGAAGAAACAGATGGTCTTGGAGAAAGTGCAGCCAGAGTGCTCTTTGGAGGCAAGCATGTGAAGCTTCGTCTGACATACTTTGGACATGTTGTTATGAGAGGCTGCTCTTTGGGAAGGGACTTGATGTTTGGAAAGGTGCAGGGTCAGCAAACTGCCACAGTGGGTTCAGGTGTGTCAGAGAGAATGAGAATGGCACAGGACAGGACAGGGTTAAGATCTGCAGCTCACAGGGTCACTATAAGTCATACACAAACTCAGTGGCACCTAACACCACTACAACAGTGTGCCTGCTATGCACCTAGCACTTAGTAGGTGCTCCTTTTACAATGACTTTGTTATCTGTCACTGCAAAGGGCCCTGGTGGCATAGTGGAAGCCTGTAAGGCTGCTAACCAAAAGGTCGGCAGTTCGAATCCACAAGCCCCTCTGCAGGAGGAAGATGGGCTTTCTCCAGCAAAGTCTGATAGCCTTGGAGGCTCACTGGCCTCCAAGTCGAAGCAGCTTGGAGACACTGTGAAGAGTCCATACCTGCCACAGGGGCAGCATCTCCACCTAAGTTCCTCCTGGGATCCTCATCGGGTTTTGTCTTTCCTCTCATTTCCCTCCACCTCACTGTTCTGCAGGCCAAAAGTTTCTGGGTCCAGGTAGAAGAATTGGCTTGCAGCTGGAACAACCAATAAACTGCTCAGGTTCAATCTGCAGCCTGAGCGTGTCACCAGGTTAGGGACCCAGCTCAGGGAGGTTTAAGGGGGATCAGCAGAGGTCACTGCCTCCTGTGGGCCTGTGAGCCCCCAGCCCCACTCTGGTTCCCAGAAGAAGCCCTGCTGATTGTCTTGGAGGAGTGGTTTCTTTGAAGGGCCTTTAATTTGTAAAGCACAGAAACGCCTGCTGAGCGCCTGACTTCGAGTGCCGCCCAGGGCTTTGCTTTTGGCGTTTCTTATGTGGAAAATGTCAGAACTCTCTCATTGCTGTCAAGTCGGAGCTGACTCATAGCGCGCCTCCTGATCATACAGTGGAGACTGGCCATCTTTCTCTCATGGGATCCCTGGTAGATTGGCCAGCGCCCGGGCAGGCCAATTGGCAGGCTCCCCTCTGTGAGAAGCGGTTGGTTGGTGGTATGTGCCATGTAGTCTGAACCAGCAGAGCTGGCCCTCCAGCAGGTTTTCAGCGGCAGTTATTCACATGGGAGGAGACTGCCCATCTTTCTCCTGTGAAGCATCTGATGAATTCGAACCATGTGCCTTTGGGTTGACAGCATGGCTAGTCTTCCGAAATTCCATCTGTCCTCTGTGAACACGCAGTGCCTTTGTGAACGTGGGTGGGTCTGCAGTGGGAAAGGTGAGAAGATTCTCTTCCAAGCCAATGCAGAGTTGGGGGAGGGGGGAGGGGTTTGTGCGGGGAGAAGGGTGCAACAGTGAATGAATAGAATCCCAAAATCTCTGTAGATGTTCATTGAAATGAAAAATAAACAACCTAAAAAACAAAAAAAAGAAATGCAGCCCTGAGGGAGAAGGATGGGCAGTTTCCTCCAGGAGCCATCTGGAGCCTCAGAAGCTGCTGGCAATTTGCTAGGAGGCAGCATTTCCATGAACAGCTGGGAGAGGCCGGACAGTGCCTGCTTTAGGACCCTGCGGTCTGGAACCACAGCTCCCTTTCTGCCATGACCAGAACTCGGACAGGAGGACCCTCAGTGCCACCTCCGGTCCTCCAGTCTGTTTGAACCAACTAGGCTGTGCATGGGCCCTCTGGTGGCCTAGTGTTAAAGAGCTGCGCTGCCAGCCTGAGGGCACATGGTTTGAATCTACCAGGTGCTCTGCAGAAGAAAGATGGATGGTCTCTTCCTGTGTCATTTACAGCTCCTGGAAGCCGGCTGCAGGGTCAGCTGTGAGCTGGTGCTGAGTCTGTGGAGAACAAGAAGATGATGAGCAAAGGATGAAGAGGGTTCAGTATCAACAGCTGGCAGCTACAATACCGCTCAAGACACCTTTTCTTATTAGAACAATAGTCAAGATTCAGCAAAGTGGAAAACAAGGCGTGCACGTGAAGGAAAGGGGGCCCACCCCTGCACTGCTGATTCCTGCATTTGGGGGGAGAGCAGCCCAGAGCAGTCACAGCAACCAACCCACATGCAGAAAATGGGCCCAGCCGTCCCTGCACCACTGAGGCATTAGGAACGGAACAGTCTAGAAAGCCGTCCATCAAGTGACACCGTGGTACTAGAACACGGTGTTGGAAATGCCAGAAAGGAAGATACCTGCATGTATAAACAGAGACAGAACCCCAAGGGTGCTGCTGATCTCCGGGGGTGTGGAGGACACACGTGGGGAAGCACCCCCTCCTTGCTTCTGCTCTGCCTACAAGGGTGCACAGTAGCCTGTGTGGGCATGAATTCAGCCCCCACTGGTGAACTCCTCGGCCCGTGGGTCCCCAGGCCAGGCTGTACAGGGTGGGGTCTGGCCATGTCCCTGCGTGGCTACAGAGCTCTGGGAGTGTGGAGTTCCTAGAAGTCCCAGGGGGACCCCTGCCAGTGGTGGGGACCCAGATGGCAGGCAGGATAGGGTGGGGGGCAGCGGTGTGGGTGGTAGGAGTAGTCAATCCTGCACACTGCAGGCCAGGCACCTCCTGACGCGCCCCCTCCCTGAGAGACCCCACCTCAGATCTGTTGGACTGTGTTTTCGGGGTATATACGGCCCACATGTCTCTAGGCCATTCATTTCTAGATATAATCAGATGCCTCATTCCCTCCACCATTCAAGCTTTGGGGTTGGTTTGTCCCCAATTCAGGGTGTGCCCAGATCCCCACTGCTGATGACCTTCACTCTGAGTTGGGCCCATTCCTGAGGGCCCCCAGCCTCCCTGCTCCCACCTGCTTCTGGCCCACAAGCCATGCCCTCCCCCTCACAGGCAGGAAGAGCTGGGGTTATAGACCGCCTTTTCCGTTCACGCTTCCAGAAGGTTCTGCCTTTTTATGATCCGAAAGCAGTCACCGGAGGGGTTAAGGCCCCTCCTCTTTGTGACCTTAGAGGGACACTTCCACATGCGGCCACCTTGATCTTCCATGGGGCTGCCAGGCCTTGAGTCCTCCTTCCTGGGAGGAGGTAGTCCTTCTGTCCATTTGTCTGTGTGGCGCCCATGGATTGAGCCCAGCATGGACGCTACATTTCCTGGACTTGTGTGATTCTAGCTGTGACTGGAAACAGATGTTAACTGAAAAGGCAGCCCTAGTGTAAGGGGTAAGGTGAACACAGCTACCCCCGTGGCCACCCATGCCCACCCAGTGCGTGCCAGAGGACACTGGGCCCCGTAGCATCTTCAATGGCTGACTTTTCCATAGGTGGCCAGACCTTTCTTCCTAACACCCAGGCTGCCTTGGGGTGACCTGACCACTCAGCCCATGCAGTGTCCTCACGTAAGGGCACCAGAGGAGCTGCGTTGATTCAGGCAGAATGGTTGGCACTAAAGAGGATTTGTGTTTCAGGTTTTCCTGTCGCTACAACCTTGATAAAAACAAAGTGGACTATAATGCTTTTTTGGAGAACCTCTGTGTGAATAATGACATGAACCTTAGACACGCTATGGGCAATCAAGGTAAGCCGATGTGAAGCCTCGTATATAAGGATTTCCATATTCTCTGACCTGGTCATTCTCTGACTCTGTCCTGAGGAAGTATCTTCAAATACAGGAATTCATGGTCCTCGAAGACATCCATGATATTCCTGGCTATGAGAACGGGGTAAATGTTTAACAACAGGGAAAAACCGCGTGAGTCAGGATCTACCCCCAGGGCGAGACCAGTAACAGTGATTGATTCCCATGAATTGATTCCCAGGGAGTTGCAGAGACCCTGAATGGATGCGAGGTTTCTAATCCACTGGGAAGAAAGATGCTGAAATACTTAAGCCCCTCTAGCGCTGTCTCTTTGGAGGGGGTGTTTTCTTTTACACTTGAAAAATCTTTGCTAATGAACGTGCCTTCCTTTGTTGTCATGTGACAGCAAGGCCACTCAGAGTGGACACACGCACCACAGCCCCAGCCCCTGTGCCCTCCACACCCTCTCCACAGTGGGGCTGTGCGGGCCCAGTGCTGCAGTCACCACTCCAGTTCCTCCTCCTCACTGACCCAACAGAATGTCCCTCTCCAGGCTCTGGCCCCTCAGGGTAACACGTCCAGACTGCGTGGGAAATCTCACCCGCCTCCCTTCTAAGGAGAGTCCCTCCTATGCTTCTTTCTACTAAAAAAAATTAATAGTTTTATTTGAATGGGAGTTTATAAACCATCCTGTTTCTTCATATGATCATTCATATATATTTTGCTTTATAACGTTGTTATTAGAATCCCATTCCATCGTTCATACATATTTTTTGTAACATTAATTACAATAGGATTATTTGCAATGGAAGCAGAACTGGCATCCACTTCCTAAACAACATGCCTCTGGAAACTCTATAAACCTTGATAAATGTCGATAATTTTAGAAAGGCTTCAGGCTTTTTGTTCATAGGGTCGCTATGAGTTGTGCTCAACTCGAAGGCAATCAACAATAACAACAACTACAATGTATTCATATGTTGTTGTTAAATGCCATGTATCAATCCAGCTCATCCAGGTCTTCCTCCCCCATACTGTCTCTTCACCCTTCCCAGCATGCTGCTCATCTCCAAGGACTGGTCCCTCCTGGCCACCTGCCCAAAGCTCATGAGATGCAGTTTCAAAATCCTGGCCTCTAAGGAGAAAGTTGGTTTCACCCTCTCCAGGACAGATCTATTTTCTTTTCAGTCCATGGTATGTTCAGGACTCCTCTCCAGCACCACAACTCAAAGGTGTCAATTCTCCTTCTGTCATCCTTAGTCATTGTTCAGCTCTCTGATGCATAGCAAGTAATTGTGAAGACCAAGACCAGGGCCTGGATCAGGCAGACCTTAATCTCTAGACTAACATCATTGCTTCTCAGTACTCTGTAGAGGTTCCTGACAGCAGATTTTCCCACTGCAATTTGTCTTTTGATTTCCTGACTGCTGGTGCCAAGAGTATTTATTGTGGAGCTGAGCAAGCTGAAATTGTTAACAATTTTAATATCTTCTCTATCACAGTGCTGCCAGTTGGCCCACTGGTGAGAATCTTTTGTTTTCTTGATGTTGAGCTTCAATCCACATTGAATTCTTGACCTTCTGCAGCAAGCACTTCAGGTCCTCCTCAGTTTCAGCAAGTAAGGTTTTTCCATCTGCATAACATAGGTTGTTGATGAGTCTTCTTCCAATCCTGATTCCACATTCCTCCTCATAAAGCCCATCCTCCCAAATGATCTGCATATAGATTGAAAAGGCATGGAGACAGGACACATCCCTAATGTACTTCCTTACTGATTTTGAACCATGCAGTGTTTCCTTGCTCTGTTCTGATGACTGTTTGTGTTTTTTTTTAAATTATTATTATGCTAGTTTATTTACAAAATTCAAATGCATTGTTTTTCACACAAGTTCCTTCCCATTTCCCTAACCCCCTGAACCCATAAAATTGTGCGACCCCGTGGTTAATCCCCCCCACAACGCACATCCTCACCCCTCTCCTTCCACCCACCCTCCCCCTTGGATCCTCATACTCATTCTACAATAATGATTTTGTACAGTATTTATCCGGGTGGGATTGAGTTAGTTCACTCAGCATAATGCTCTCTAGTCCCTCCCAAATTAGGTAATAATTTACAAAATTATTACTTCTGCGTGCTGCATAGGATTCCATTGTATGAATGTACCATAACTTCTCAATCCATTCCATTGTTGTTGGATATCTGGGCTGTTTCCATGTCCTTGTGATGGTGAATAATGCTGCTATGAACATTGGTGTATAAGTCTCTGTTTGTACCTCAGTTCTCCTTTTCTCATGGTATATTCCAAACAGTGGAATAGCTGGGTTATATGGAATTTCTATGGTCAGCATTTTGAGGAAGTGCCAACTACATTCCAGAATAGTTGTGCCACTGTACAATCCCACCAACAATGTGTAAGAGTTCCTATCTCGTCACATTCACTCCAGCATTTATTTCTTGCTGTCCTGTTAAACATTGCCACTGCTACTGGAGTGAGGTGGTATCTAATTGTGGTTTTGTTTTGCAGCTCTTATTGCAGGGATTTGGAGTATTTCTTCATAAGTCTGTTGGCCATTTGAATATCTTCCTCTGTGAAAATTCCTTCCATGTCTTTTGTCCACTTTGTAATTGTGTTATCAGTATTTTTCTTGAGGAGGCCCAGGAGTATTCTGTAAACTTTCGTGATGAGAGTCTTGTCTGAGCTGGTATTGCCAGAAGTTTCTCTTTTGCTAACCAGACACAGAAAGAAAACAGGGACATGAGGAAATGAATTCTGAAAAAGAAGAACACTAGGGCGCGGTTCTCTCACAGCTTAACCCTGTGAAAAGGCCCCTTAGTTTCCCCATAGTTTTTATTTTGTTTAAGCCAATAATAAAAAAAAAGATTCCTGTCTCAAGAGACTCTATTTTCCTTATACATAGATGTAGCCAACATAACAAAAGGTAAGCTTAATTCTTAAATGAAACAATGAAAAAGCAGAATGGTTTCAAAGTTCGGGCACTGTCCTCTCTAACAGGAGGCTGAGTGGTGCCTTCTGCTTGCATCGGGCATCCAGTATTGCCTCAGGGGGGCCGGGTAGAATTCTGTTTGCAGAGGGCACTCAATTCTGCCTGGACTCTGATCTCACCTGCAGACTGGCCATCACTACACTGAGCTATCCACATTAGTTCCCAATCAGTAGGTTTTCTTTTCATCCTGTTGGAAAAAAAGTTTTTGATGCACACAGGAATTTAATCTTTAGAAGGTCGCATTCATCAGTTTTATCCTCTTAAGATTGTGCATTTCTGGCTGCATTTGGCAGCCTCTTTATACCGTAGACTAGGCCTTCTAAGCTAGATTCCAATTTGTCTCTTAAGAACTTTATGGTTTTGGGCTTTACTCCCAGGTCTCTGATCCACCTTGAGTTGATTTTTATGTATGGGGAGAGATGTGGATCCTGTTTCAGCTTTCTGCAGGTAGCAGTCCAGTTTTGCCAGCACCATTTGTTGAAGAGGCTGTCATTTCCCCATGTGATAAGTTTTATTCCCTGTCAAGTATCAGTTGGCCGTAGATAACTGGGTCTATTTCTGGGTTCTCAATTTTGTTCCATTGGTCTATGTGCGTTGTTCTGATGACTTCTTCCTGGTCCAAATATAAGTTTCACAGAAGTACAATCAAAGTGTTCTGGTGTTCCTATTCTCCTCAAGGTTAGCCACAATTTGTTGTGATCCACACAGTCAAATACCTTTGCATAGTCAGTGAAACACAGACATTCCTCTCATATTCTATGCTTTTTGCCAAGATCCATCTGACATTGGCAGTAATGTTGCAAGTGCCATGGCCTCTTCTAAACCCAGCTTGTATTTCCGGTAGTTCTCTGTCAATGTCCTGTGCCAGTCATTTTTGGACTGTTTCTGTTCTGCCAGTCTCCTCCTTTTGGGATCCCAATTATGTTTATATAAGACTGTGTGATACTGGCCCACCACTCGTATTTTCTCTTTCCCATTTTGTTCTCTTTGCATTTCAGTTTGAGTGTTTTCTACAGAACTCTCTTCAAGTTTAATGAGCATGGTGGCATAATGTGATACTTGGAGTGCTACTCAAAAGGTACATGAAACACAGTATGAATGAAGAACAGTGTGAAAGATGATGTATAAGAACTTTGTAAGCAAACCAATTTTAAAAAAAAGAAAAAGAAATTTTTTACCATGGGGCAGGAAGCGGGGGGGAGGGCGGCGGATAAATAAATAGTTTATTAAAAAAATTTAAAAAGGTCAGTGGTTGGAATCCACCAGCCACTCTCCAGAAAAACCCTGGGCTGTCATACCTCGGAAACCCAGCGGGGGTCGTCATGAGTCAGAAGGGACTTGAGGGCAGTAGCTTGCTTGGCAGCTTTTTATCTTCCTGTCCACTGATTCTTGAGTAGAACTGAGTTTCAACTAATCTGCCTTTCACCCAGTTTCTCCAAACGGTTCTGTCCTCAATAAGGATGATTGTGTTGTTATTAGGTACCATTGAGTCAAGTACAACCCATAGTGACCCTGTGAACAACAGATCTGAGCCCTGTTGTCACCTGTGCCATCCTCACAATCTCTGACACACTCGAGCCCATTGGTGTAGTCACCAAGTCAATCTGCCTGGTTGGGATATTATTACTCTCCTTTGCTGCTCTTCCACTTTTCCAATCATGATGTCCCTTTCCAAGGAATAGCCTCTCCTAGCAACGTGCTCAGAGTATGTGAGACGAACCTTCGTCATCTTTGCCTCCAATGAGCTCTGGCTTCACCTTCTCCAAGACAGATCTCTGTTCTTACGGCAATCCATGGGATGTTGTTCATCACTCTTCTCCAACACCACAGTTCAAAGGAATAAATTCTTCTGTCATCGTATTCATTGTCCTGATCTCAGCTGTACAAGTGATTGAAAAGACCATGGCCTGAATCAGGCACACTTTAGTTCTCAGAGTAACGTCATTGTTCTTAATAATTTGGAGAAGCCCCTGACTGCACACTTTCCTAGTGGA